CCCTATAGAAAATGCCAAACACCCGATTTTGGAGTGACGTGGTGGAATCGTACTTTCCTGGATCCAAATCCATTCAGAGTCCGACCCTACCCCACATAAACCCGCTTTCTAAATTAAATATTTTTTTTATGAACTAAATTAATTAATTAATTAATTAATTAACTGATTAACATCCGCTGGATTAACAGAAAATGAAGCAAAGCGGTTGAGTTTCCTTACCCTTTGTTTTCCGATCTACCTTACCCTACACAAATCTCCTAAACAAATTCTCTTGATCTTCCTCACACCCAAAAACCCTTTCAAATCTTACGATCTACTATCCAACATAAGCAATTCAATCTGAAAGTCTCTGTCTTTGAGTACATTTTGGGTTTCATTCAATACATATAAAGATAGAATCAACTGGTTTTCCGGTGATGAAGGCAGAATTGGGAAGGATACATTGATATCTGGATAATAATTATGATGATGATGGTAATGGAATGGGAAGTGAGGGGTTTGTAACATTTTTGGGGAAAATTTTGTGTATTGGTGGTGTTTGTGTTTGTGTTTGTGTTTGTGTTTGGATTGGTGGTGGGTGGATAGCAGAGAGCAGAAACAATGGCGGAGGGGCAGTCGGGTTCCGGTGGGAGCTGGACGGACTCTTACAAAGGAATGTCCTCGGATAATATTAAGGGATTGGTATTGGCATTGTCTTCAAGTTTCTTCATTGGATCCAGCTTCATTGTTAAGAAAAAGGGTTTGAAGAAGGCTGGCGCCTCTGGGGTTAGGGCGGGTATTCGACTTTCCACATCTTTGACTTTGTTTCTGTTATCAATTGGGTTTTTATCGTTTCTCTTATGCTTTGATCGGTTCTGCTTGGTCCGGGGATTTGAGACAGGAGAATGAGTTTCTGGCATTGGAATTTGTTTGAATTCAATTGGGTTTTCATTCTAGGATATTTAAAAAAAAAAAAAAAAATTTTATGGTTTGTTACGTTTTCAAGATTCCTAGTTTCTAAAAATTGATTTTTGCTGCAGTATTAGGCTTTTCTTTTATTTCTGTAATTTATGCTCTTTTTCTTTTTTTTCTTTTATGAGTTTGCCTCTTGGATTTTGGTCCTGTAGGTAGTACCCCTGGTTCATATTGCATAATATCACAGTTCTAGCCATGTAGTCATTAACTGCCCTTGTTTTTTTTTTTTTTTCTAACTTTTGTAATTTTGCAATTTTGCTTGCAGGTAGTGGAGGTTATTCTTATCTCTATGAGCCACTTTGGTGGGTGGGCATGATAACTAGTGAGTTTTCTTTATTCATTATGCTCTATAGATTATGTAGGAAATGATAACTCATTGGATTTGGAGTATTAGGATCCTTATTCTTTAATGTTATTCAACTTAGAAGTACTATTCTTTCATCAGAGCATTAGGGTCCTTAATGATGCCTTGTTTTGTCTGAGCATTAGGATCTTTGATGTTAACTCATTTTGTTGATATTGGTCTTTTCAATCTTCTTGGAATCTTTTGTTTCTCATTCATTTTCTAGTGGAAGAATTGGCATACACTCCTTTTCAATCTTGATAAGATTAGCATAAACAAGAAATCCATTCCTCTAATATGGCTAGTTCTGGATGTGACAGTGATTGTTGGGGAGGTCGCTAATTTTGCAGCTTATGCATTTGCACCAGCTATTCTTGTCACTCCTCTTGGTGCTCTTAGTATCATTATCAGGCAAGAAAATGGAACTAATGACCATCGTATCTTGATTTATTATTATTATTATTTTTTTCATATTTGAATACTCATTTCTTGGTTTTCTTGCAGTGCTGCTCTAGCACATATTATACTGCACGAGAAATTGAACATTTTTGGGATTCTTGGGTGTGTTCTATGTGTTGTGGGTTCAACTAACATTGTTCTGCATGCTCCTCAAGAACGGGAAATTGACTCTGTCAAAGAAGTATGGGATCTTGCAACAGAGCCGGGTATACTTGTACATAAGAAAGTATTTATATAAACTTGTTATTGAAGAAAATTTTCCCCCTCATATTCCTCTTCTTTGCTTTATTTATTTATTTATTTATTTTAAATTATGTAACATAATGACTCAATGAAATTTGATGCCTCTTGCAGCTTTTCTTCTGTATGCGGCTGTTGTAATTGTGGCAGTGTTTATTCTCATATTCCAATTTGTTCCGCAATATGGTCAGACAAATGTGATGGTATATGTTGGCATTTGTTCACTCATGGGCTCCCTATCAGTATGTGTTTGTTGTTGGCATTTACCCTCTTCTTCAATCTGATTAATGCTCTGAGTGATATTCTTCATGGTTATTTTATTTATGCATTCTCATTCATTATTAACATATGTGCATTTCTGGCAGGTCATGAGTGTTAAAGCACTTGGAATTGTTTTAAAGTTAACATTTTCAGGAATGAATCAGTTAATATATCCTCAAACTTGGGTTTTCGTCTTGGTGGTACTTACCTGTGTGCTTACTCAAATGAACTATTTAAATAAGGTAATGATATATAAATGATTTGAAAATATTTAAAAGCATGCTACCTCATTTTTCTGAACAAGATTTGACCAACTCCTGAAAGTACTGGAAATCACCATCTACTGTCATTTTTCGTCTTAGTTTAAAGTGCACGTGATTGATGGTTATTAAAGGTTCAATGTCACCATCAAATAAGGCAACAACATCACGGCATGTGCCTTCATTTCTTTCTGAGTAATGCAGCTTTGCAAACATGTCACATTCTCCTCATTTGTCTTCTTTTTGTGGTTTCCACTCCATCCAATCAAACATGGCCAGAGTGGTTGCTAGGCATTATATTTAGGAAGATATATAGAGTGGACATGTGTACATTTAAGTATGTACATGCATATGAATGTATGAATAAATGTATGCTTGTATGCATCAATCTGTTCATGTGTAAATTTTATAGGGCAAATTGTTTCATGCAAGAAAGAATATAAAAAGGAAAATGGATATAAAAGCTCAATATATGAGGTGTTATTTTCTAATTTTAAATTTATTGGTGAGTACTTATGATGGGAGCATTGTCTTTTATTGCAGGCTCTTGATACATTCAACACAGCTGTTGTGTCTCCCATATACTATGTGATGTTTACAACATTAACAATTTTGGCTAGTGTAATCATGTTCAAGGTAAGTTCATTTTCTTTGTTTGGAACTATGGATGGATGAGATTTAACTAGTCAAATGCTAGCTAACCAGGTGCTTTGATTGTGTGGTTCTTACGCTAGAAATCTTTTAGTTTTATCTGGTGTATATATATATATATATATTTTTTGTATTTATGAGCTAAAGTTTTTAGATTTGTAAAGGTAATCTATCTAATTATTTTGATAATTTTATGTTTTGTAAATTTTTTTCCCCATTTTATGGTGCTCCCTTGCCCTAATCCCCTTGCTTATAGTCTGTTTATAGTCCTAGGTATGGTATGTTAAACTTTCCTATGTAATGCTATGAGCTCAGATTGCAATGATTCTGATTCTGGATACAGGACTGGGATCGACAAAACCCAACCCAGATTATCACAGAAATTTGTGGGTTTGTTACTATCCTTTCAGGGACTTTTCTTCTTCACAAGACAAAGGACATGGTTGATGGTATGTTTTTATTGCGTTGCCTACCTATGTTACATTTCGGGATCCATGATACTTAAATTGCATTCCTTTCATAGGTGCCTCAACATCAGCACGTCTTTCTAAGCACTTAGAAGAAGATGATTTTGGTGCTGAAGGTATTCCTCTCCGGCATCAAGACTCCATGTGATCACCATAGTTGTATTCTTTGATTCATTGCTCTTCTTGTTTGATGACACTACACATATTTTGGGGGAGAGACTTGCTGCCATCGCCCTGTACATTATCCATCTATCATGTTGGTCCCAACAACTGTTTCAGATGAAAATGAGCAAAGATGATGGCTGGATCAGAGTTTCTCAAGTTGAATTTGAAGATGACTTTCAGCTGCTTGCTGTCAATATGCCCTTCTAACTTCCCCCCAGCTTGTAGTCCTCTTAGGAAATTGTAATTTTGGGAATATTATCTTAAACAGTGATGTATCCTAGCTTAAAATCTACTTAGATTTCTAGATAACAGTGGCTAGGAAATTGAGGAAGAGATTGGATAATTTGGTAAAAGAAATTTCCAATTCATTCATTTCAATCTTCAGGGCTTTTGATCCTTAAACCTTAGTTTGAAAGAAAAGGAGAGAAACGGTGAGGATGCATACCTCTTTTTCCTCGGTAAGCATATTTTATGGGAAGAAAACACCGTTTTTTTTTTTGGGAAATCTATGGTTTTTCCCCTATTTCTCTTTTCCTAAAATATGGATTTCCAGGAAGACAAAGGCTAAGGATGGCATTACTCTGTTTTCTTGGCAAGCATATTTCGAGGGAAGAGAATATTGGGCTATTTTTTTTTGGATTCTGACTTTCCCCCTATTTCTCCTTTCCTAAAAAATGGATTTCCAGGAAGACAAAGGATGCGGATGGCATCACTCTGTTTTCTTGGTATGCATATTTCAAGGGAAGAAAATATTGGGGTATTTTTTTGGATTCTATTGTTTTCCCCCTATTTCTCTTTTCCCAAGGAAAGGATTTCAAGGAAAGGAAAGGAAAGGATGAGGTTACATTTCCTCTCTTTCCTTGGTTAAGCATAATTTTAAGGGAAGAGAGCATGGGGGTATTTTTTGGATTATATGGTTTTCCCCTATTTCTCTTTTCCTTAAGGAAAGAATTTCAAAGAAGAAAAATGATTGAGGCACAACCATTGTTTCATAATTTTAAATAAAAAGTAAAGTCTAATCAAATGAATCAATTATTAATCAAAAATGACTTCTACATAAAATTGTGAACAAAAATTATGAGGCAATGAAAGCTCCAACTCTTGGAATAACAAATTTCAACTGAAAAAGTACTCATTTGGATTCACCCTCTTGAACATATTCATACTTTACAAGAAATGAAAATATTGAGATTAAAGTGTTTATTACTATACCATATTTTATTTTGAGCATCTCTCTTTTTACACTTCAGACAACAAGATGGACTGAAATCTTCATATGTACACAAACACTTCCACCTCTTTTATATATCCGCCTTCCAAATATGTGATATCATACACCAAAAAAATCCCATCATTTCACCATATTTCCATGTGAAAAAAGAGATGTCAAGCAGTGGAGAAAACATGAATTTCCTCACCCTAAAGGGTGGCGACTAAGGACTGGAGATTTCAAGTGAAAGATATTAGATTCAAACCTTGAATCGGGGTGAGGAGAGATTTGGGAATAAGAGAGGTCTATTCTCTTGTATAACCCATAAAGATAAACCAAAAAAACAGGATTTTCTTGATAAAATCAATCATACCAGAATTTGTATGAGCCTAAAAACAGGATTTTCAATGCAATTTACCGGCGTAGAGTGTGATGTTTTGCTAAACTATGATGAGAACTGTGAAGCAAGAAGAGCTTCCTGAAGGACTTAAAGAATACCACTATGCTTGGCTTCTTCGGAGAAAACATTCCACCATTGGTTTTGGACAGCTTCAGGGACCGAACACAATTCAATTCCACCACGTCGCTGGAGCAGCCACTGGAACCCATCCTTGAACTGCAGCCACTGGAACCCATCCTTGAACTGCAGCTTCTGGAAAGTTCCTCATTGAAATCCTCCCACAACAGGTCCATTTTCTCTTCTCCATCTTCAGTATACCCTACTCTCCTCGACACCTTTGACCCTTTCTCAACATATGAACAGCTCTTCCTATGCTTCTCCTCTGTTTCAAAACGCTCATGATCATCTTCTTCTTTCACTCTTTTTTCCCCTTCTTTTGAAAATTTATCCCTAAAAGCATCAGGGGATGCTGCCGGAGAAAGATGCCACAAAGGCGGTGAATCGATGCCACAAGGGTAGGAGTCAGTGATGGCGGGGAAGCTAAATTCTTCAGTGGCGGCCATGGTTTGGTTCATTTGGTGTTTGTAAATATGAGAAGGGAAGGGAAACACACAAAGGGGTATTGGGAATTGGAGTCAAGAGGTTTGGTAGTTTGTTTTCTTGGAAAATTTTTTAGTTCAACCGCTTCAACAAGTTAAGGAGCAGCTTCATGTGGAAAAATCAGAGTGCTTGCTTTATGGGTTTGAGGGCGATGTTTTTGGCTCTTCTGAGTAGGCCACCCGTCCAAATATTGGTAAATTACTCATCATCATTATCTCTCACACGACACAAGATGTGATGTGAAGTTAATTGTGTCAATGTTTGGTAGATTTTCTTTCTTTTGGCACTTGGATCACAGAAAAGCAAAATAGATGCATACAAATTCACAAAACTTTTTCACAAATCTACAACTACACCATTTACTTGGAAACCTCTATCATTTACTAGCGTACAAATTTGTGAAGGTTAAAAGATGATTGTTAAAATTGAACTTATTTAATAAATTTATATGGTTTGGAAATAAAAATCAATAAATTTTATTTTTAGCCGTAATTTTTTTTTTTTAAACAGTATGAAACTTTCTTTTCTGGGAAGAGGAAAGGGACCTGGGAATTGATCTCAGGTTACATTAATCCTACGCACGTCTGCAAGGGGTGACCAATAGACCACCATGTGCGGGACAGCCGTAATTGATATCTTAAAACAAATAAATTTAAAAAGAATTCTATACAACTAAGATTTAGCTTACCTTAGATTTATAAAAGTTATGTTAGGGAAGGAAGAAAGCTCGATTTATATTTATATGGGGGGTAAAATATCTGATCTAACGCCGGATTGGAAGGAGGAGTTCCTTTCTTTGGATCACATTTTTCCACAATTAATTTGACTTTTGAAGAAAATTGCAAGCTAACTATTGGAATTCAGCAACGGAATGCTCATCTCAAGTCAACCATTGTCCACCAATCATTAGTTGGTTAGGACAGAGTGTTACCCAAAAAATGATAATCTAAACAACAAAAAAGAGTTATTCTTTTGCCTTTTTTTTCTGTAATTAAAAAAAAAGAAGAAGCTGTTGATTCTTTTCTTTTCTTTTCTTTTTTTATTACAGAATATGGAGGTTGAAACTTGAAACAACTTTTTCTCTTTTAATTTGTTTTTCTGTTTAGACATATTTTGAAGGATGAAAGGCGGTAATGCATCTCAAACTATTTCTATATCTCTTGCTTTTAGGTGTGTTTTATTTATTTATTTTTTTTGAAAGAGGGTATTTATTATTATTATTATTATTATTATTATTATATTTTTTTGCTTTTAGGTGTGTTTTATTGGTGATCACACTATAGTATATCTAAAGAAAAATAATTTTGAGACAATCTTTTTATATAACTTGACGTATTATTTAAATGGATGATTTTTTTAATTTATATAAGACCCGTGATATTAAATATATTTACTTATGATATGTAAAAATTGTATAAAAATGTAATGTAAAAAGATTGTTCTTATAATACTGCCCATATCTAAATCATTTGTACACCATGAAGTGTCTAAATATAGAAGCTAAATCAAGTAATTTGGTCGGTTATTGTGTGTTTGGGAGTGAGATTTAGGTAACGCACTATAACAATTAAGGTAGTTTAGATTTTATAACTTATAAATATATTAAATTGGTAAGCTTGGAATCAATTGAACCAAATCCTTGAGTTGATTCTAACCTTGTACCCATGAAATCAACTTCTAAAGTTTATTCACATAATATGATATAGCTTTAATTTAGAGGTTAACCCATTCACCAACTTCTCAACACCTGCCATTAGAGACAAAATTAGTTAAACAAAATATAATTGAGATTTAAAAAAAAAAATCATCTTCACGGCATCATTGACTTTGCTTTGGATGAATTTATCAATTCAATGGATTTCCCATCTCCCCCATTATGTAATTATCCACAACCCACAGCATTGTTGAAGGCACTCCAAAAGAAACAAAACTTTTGAAAGAAAAGCTAACTAACGTTTATTATAAAATAACAATACTTATAATGTACATCATACTAATGTAATTATTTATAAAATTTCTTATTTAATTTTATAATTTGAATTATACTTAATTGTAAAAAAAATCATTAAATAAAAAAATAGTCTCTAATATTAAAAGTTCATTTTCATCTAATAATTTAAATTACATTAAATTACATTATATTTTTTTATTATTTATTTTAGTTATATGGTGCAATGTATTATTTAAAAAAAATGACAATTATATTAATAATATTATCATCTATTCTTGGGGATAAAGAATATTAAATTTGAGACTCACATTTCACATTAACAAGGATGCCATTACTTTACTTCTTAAAGAAAAACGTAACTCCATGCACCACACTAGTGATTGGTGGTGCAATGTATTACTATTACTTAATAAGTGAGTAAAGTTTAAACAACTAATCAGATTAGTAATGCGTGTTTAGTGGATGCAGGACCTATGTCAAAATCAGTGGGTGCAAAAACTTGTGCCTTTGGTTTGAAATAAGAATCGTTTTTCTATCTATATTTTTCTTTTGAATAAATGATAATTAAGAGAGATGAGAGAGGATGATAAGGTGTTATGCAATGAAATAGTGTGCGGAGGTTGTTCTCTTAAAATTTTATTTAAAAGATTTGTTTAAAAATTTATTTTTTAATTAATATTTTCAAAAATAAGTCAATAATTTAAAAATTCTATTCATATAAATCATGTATATCAATTTTTATATTATTTTAACATTTACAACCACTTGATCAAAGAAATTTTATTTATTGACATATATTTAATATTTTTAAATTTCTTATAATCTATAAAGTTGTTAAGCCTATTAAAACAAATTATAAATTGATATTCATAATTTATATGAATAGAACTTTTAATTTAATAATTAATTTTTAAAAATATTAATAAAAGAGATGTTCTCCAAAAGTAATTTAGAAGAATGGCGTATAAAATACTTTTTCTTTATGCAATATAAAAAACTAAGATAATATAAGAAAATCGCCATCCCCTTGGATCAAATCCAAAACTCACGAACCTGGCTTATGGGCCAAGTGGCGTGAGCCACATTTTATGTTCATTTCCTCCTCTCTTAAGGGTAATGGTTTTATTGGTCTTATGGTAAAAATGTTAAAAAAAAAAAAATCCAAAACTCAAAAACTAGAATACCGAATTTTAGAGTTTGAGTGGCAAATCATTAGATCAAGAATACCTAAGATATTATTATCACACCTTTAATTACTAATATTATAAAATTAGATGATTTTCCTTCCTATTATCATATTGGTATTCAACCTCAACAACTTATAAAATCTCGTTAATACATGGATTTTGTTTCATTGAAGAAATGAGATTTCTAATTGTTAACTATCAATTTTAGTCTTTAAACTTTTAATTTGGACATTTTTAACGCCTAAATTATTTTTTTTATACTTTTTTGTCCTTAACAAGAATATTTTTTAATTATTCTATTAATTAATTCATTAAAATTGATCATATATATACATATTTTAGTACATGAACTTAAAAATTTATAGATATTATATGTTTAAAAAATAAAAATGTGTATATTTGAACTAATTTAATAAACTAATTAACGAAAAGATAAAAAATACGTAGTTTTTAAAGTTAAAGATTAAAAAAAATCTTAAAAATAATTCAAAAATTAAAAATATTTAGAATTAAAAATTAAAAAGAAAACTAAAATTCACATTTAACCATTTTTAATTAAAAAATAAAAATATAGTATGTTTCTATGTTTATTGGACCGTGGTACCGCTACCCAAATGCGCAAATGGCATACGCCGCTTGGACAAGAAAATTAAATAATGGAAAAACAAAAGAAGAAAATTCTGACCAGGTTTTGTTTTGTCAGTCTCAGTTTTGGGCGTTGAACTCACTAGGGTTTAGCAGCCTTCTTCTTTCTCGGTACACACTACCTCAATTCAGAAACCTGCACTGAAAAATTTTTCCTTTGTTCTTGGGAAATAAGGTATGCACATAAAGCTCCACTCTTTGATTTACATACAGATGTTTGTGTTTTACTTAACAAGATTCATTGTAATTTCTTGTTAGTGCTAAAGACTGTCCTTTTTTTTTTTTGTGCGTGTTTGGAGAATGAATTGAATTTCTTGTAATCCATATTTGCAGTTATTCATGGGTGTGATTGATATCTACAACATTGCTTCTCTTTCTTTGATCAAACCCAATACCAATATTCACCAATTTGGAAATTCTCAAAGACCCATTTGCTCATTTGAAGGAAATCCTAGAAGGGTCATAACCATGGCCTCTTCCACCATTCCTGTAGAGCAAGTCAGCCAGGGTAAGCAGCGGTTGACTGGTGATTCTTTTATTCGACCGCATTTGAGGAAATTGTCTCCTTATGAGCCCATATTGCCTTTTGAGGTAATGGGGATCGGAAACTTGATTTTTTAGCTTATTGTAGCTTAGTCATTTGATTTTGGTGACTGCGGTGATGATTTAATTATTGACAATTGCTAAGTTTTGGTTAATGAGTCAGTGGAATAATTTCTTATGTATTAGGTTGAAAAGTTCTGTTATTATCTGCCGGGATTATTATGCTTGGTTTATGGTTTTCGAGTGAAGGCAGAAGTATAGGTTCTGTGAATTTCCAGCTGAGCAGCCAAATTGGTTTAATGCTTGTTCTGCTTCTGATTGAGCTTGTCTTTATTAATTTACTTGGATGTCCATTATCTACTTGATCTTTGCTAACCAAATTATTTTGCTTCTTGAAACCCAACTGTAAATTTTCATACTTACGTAAAAGAAAAAGTTCAGAAATGGGATTATGATCTCATGTTTTTTTATTGTTTAGACAACAGAAAAATGGTTAATGTATGATTTAGTTATCTATGTTGACTGTATGTGCTGTTTATGTTGGGTTCTTCTGATATTGGCTAAGACTCCAATGTATCAGCTAGTTATTGGATAAAGAAAGTATTGGCCAACATCTATGCATGTGTCATAACAAATTATGAAATGACCCTTGAGTGCAAAGTTGTCTATCTTGATTATTCAAATGGAAAGCACTTTTTGCCTTATGGCTCTATCGTTCTTGTATATGAAGCAAATGATTCCTTTTTCTTATTTTAAATACTCTGTAATTTATGATCTTTTGTATAAAATCCTTCAGATGCTCCCATTTTGTTGTTTGAATGCAATGATTGATTTCTATATAATTTAGTAATATTTCTCTCTCCAGGTTTTGTCAGAAAAACTTGGAAGAAAGCCTGAGGATATAATCAAATTAGATGCAAATGAAAATCCTTATGGTCCACCTCCAGAGGCAAGTGGTATCTATGATCAGACTTCTCATATAAATATTTGTTAGCACTGGAGTAATGGAAGAATTTTCAATCATTTGTATTGAACTTTGAGTAACAACTTGGTTCTTTAGCTTGTTAGTGCCATCCTTACTGTTGATTATTTTGTTATTCCCTGATTGCAACTTTCAGATTGTTTGTAGGTTCTTGAAGCTTTGGGCTCTATGAAGTTCCCCTATATCTATCCTGATCCAGAATCCCGCCAATTGCGTGCTGCGCTTGCCAAAGATTCAGGGATTGAATCTGAATATATTCTTGTGGGCTGTGGTTGTGATGAGCTTATTGATTTGATAATGAGGTGGGTGACAGTAAACTTAGTTTATACGATATAGTCTGTTTTTTTCTATCTTCTCTGTAATCTTGGAAATGATTAACTCCTAACCTTCTGCTTTGTTTATTTTCTAACTATCTGATTGCTATAGATGTGTACTGGATCCTGGTGATAAGATCTTGGACTGCCCTCCCACCTTCACTATGTATGAATTCGATGCTGGTGTTAATGCGGCAGAGGTGGTCAAAGGTGAGATATGCTTTCTAGCATTTCACTTTCTATTTCTGACTTAGCTCAGATATTTGGTTTTTCACACACATTGCTGCTTTTTGAGTGAACACTTTTTCATTTAAAATGCCATATCTCTTCATGTTTCTTAATCAACTGTGAATAATGTCATACACTCTAAAATGCTATGTAGTTCCAAGGAAGCCAGACTTCGGCCTGGATGTAGAACTCATTGCTGATGTTGTTGAGCAAGAAAAACCAAAATGCATATTTCTAACTTCCCCAAACAATCCTGATGGAAGGTAAATTTCACTTGTTTCCGCACTCAGTGTCTTTTCTTGTCTATTGCAGTGATCATGTCATAATATATCAGAGGGATTTAAATTCCTTATCAGTTTCTTTCTTCACAATCTAAAGTTGTCCAAGATAGAAAAATTTTGATGGGCAAAATATGAATATCCATATGATTTTTCCTAAATATGTTTTCTATTTTCTGGTCTCCCATGTACATTCTCACACATTTTATTTGGTTTGTTAATTATTATATCAGCATCATCAGTGATGAGGTTCTCTTGAAGATCCTTGACATGCCAATATTGGTGGTGCTGGATGAGGCATACATTGAGTTTTCTGGAGTCAAATCCAAGATGAAATGGGTGAAGCAGTATGACAACTTAATTGTTCTTCGAACATTTAGCAAAAGAGCTGGTATGTAATTTTTTTACTTTCTAGTTGTAATGATTTTTATTTTTAGGAACTTAATTTGTTTTGCTTATAATTGTTTCATTTGAATGATTGAGTGGCAATAGAATGTTTTAAACATAGAGAGCTGCAGTGTCTTAGTTTTTCAAGTGATTTTCTTTTACAAAAATGAATGACAGATGAAATAATGGTAGCTCATGCTTTGTGGTGTAGTATTGACAATGACTGTCTGCTGCTGCAGGTTTGGCTGGCATCCGTGTTGGGTATGGAGCGTTTCCATTGAGCATAATTGAGTATCTCTGGAGAGCAAAGCAACCGTATAATGTCTCTGTTGCTGCTGAAATTGCTGCTTGCTCTGCATTGCAGAATCCAACATATCTAGAGGTTCTTGTCTTTTATTTTCCCTTTCAATTTTCTCCTGTTTTTATGATGTTGGGCTTTGTTTCTATTAAAAATTTTCTGATTTAAGTCCAAATTTTCCAGGAGGTGAAAGAGGCTTTGGTAAATGAACGGGATAGGCTTTTTAGACTTCTAAAGGAAGTACCATTCCTGAATCCATATCCAAGCTATTCTAATTTCATTCTTTGTGAGGTAACATCTGGAGTGGATGCGAAGAAGTTAAAGGATGACCTTGCGCAGATGGGCGTCATGGTCCGTCACTATAACAAAAAGGAACTGAAGGGCTACATTCGTGTGACTGCTGGGAAGCCTGAGCAATCGGATGTCTTGATGGAGTGCCTCAAGCGCCTATATTGAATATACCATGCTGCTGAGGCATGTAAACTTTCCAAGTAGGAGATTCAATTCAGTTTATCTAAATTGTTGTTCTCCTGAAATGCTTGAATTTAGATGCTTGATGATGATTCCTTTTCATCAATTCACCCTTTTCTTAACTTTAAGATTGTCAAACATTACCTTTTACTTTAGAAGATCGTTTGATTGGACTCTCGGAACATCTATGCTTCTGTCAAATGTTACATTTCCATGGTAAAGAAATGAAGATGCCTTTTACTAGTGATTGCAACATTTGGTTTCTGAGGAACTACCTAGGCTGCAAGCATGCTTTTCCACTAAAATGAAGAGAAGTGCATATTTGAGCTGTTATGCCAAATATTAATTCATATTTTCCTTTACAAATTGAGTCCTACTCTCACCTTCTGCTAAATTTCATGTGTTGAATCGATTGAAGGTTGGTCAAGGAGATATAAATCTTGAGATGGTGATCCTTTCCCTTCTATTCTCCATGATGTTCTATCCAGTTCTGATCAAGGACTGATTCTATGGAAAGTTTCCTCAGTTGAAATTGCTCTCAGGCTCGCTTTGGAACCTTGTGCTCTCATGCTCACTTCAAAACCTTGTGCATCGCTTCTGCAAGAGATTAGGTGAGGTAGTGGCCGATAGAAAGGTGTATGTCTTGTTAGAGAATAGGATGGTGATAACAAGGTGCCGGTTTTGTTATTGGATGGTAGAGAGAATGGTTTCAGATATTAAAGAGCAGGTTTCAATGGGATCAGTTGCAAAGGAGGAAGAGGAATTTCTCAAGAGTACATTGTTGCTGCGCAAGAAAGCAGTTGTCCTCAAGCCCAAGGTGGGGCCGGAGATGTTCGAGTCTGCAGTAAGAGAGCTGTTCCAATGGGTTATTGGGTAGAGTTTCTGTAGCTTAATTAATTACTTTCATGAAATTTGCATCTAATTAAAAAAAAGTAATTAATAATAATCCATCAACACAAGAAACTGAAGCCAGAGATACCAATCAATGGAGCTGTGCAGATATCATTACAAGCCATGATCTCCAATCAAAATTTTACACACAGGAAGTCAGTAACCAATTGAAGAGATTGAAGAGGAAAAATACAAAAATCTTGTGAGAATAGTGGTACAGAAGTCTGAGTTGCTTTGTTGAAACCTAGAGTGCTTTGTTGCCTCCAACAAAACAAACTAATGAATGTAAACAAATTTAGAATGAAATTAGTAAAAAGGATAGCAGAATTTCCCTTCCCAACCTAACCAATTCAGGTCAACTATACTAACAGAAGATTGAGCCGTGCCTAACAAATCACGCTTGAAAACTAACCCCATATCTGCAGCAGACCTACCATGTTCCAAGTAGCAAATTGGGTCCAAAGCCAGAATTGCAGCAAAATGTGGCAACCATATGTCCTGGTCCCAACACAAGGAACCATACCAGCAGGGCCGAGATTAGTGTATAAAAGCTGCAATCCAAAGGAGAAAATCAATAGAACACACATTCTATAATGTTGCTTGTTGCTTAACACGCTTCTCATCCAATCTATGACGATACAACTTGGTTACTATTCTCCTCTCACAATCCTGCAATAGAAGGAACCAGGGTAAAGATCTATAATTCTTATTCCCACTTTCTTTTGAACAGATCCTGTATCAGGAGATGGTAAACAGCCGTTCAATTATGTACAGTTTATAGCCATTTTTTTATAGAATTATTTACCTTGAACATGTTCAAATAAAATGGTTTGCCAGGATTCATCCTTCTCAACTTCTGGTATGTAAATGCAAAACTTAGCTGATCACGAGGAGTAAATCGGTCAACCTCATTGAACCAAAGGCAAGAGAACAAATTTGACATTGGTGTGTGTGCTCTTATGATAAAAGAACCTTCAGGTACATCTGCAAATGCAAAAAACAAATGTTACAAACAAGCAGAGAGTACACATGAGATGCAGGACAGCGACAGTGCAAAAGTATTGCTTGTGCACATGCATGTGAATTCAGGCATCAAAGTGTGCCAGTGAATATATCCTTGGACAAAGTCTTACTGCTGGGGAGAAGCTTGTGAGTATCTGAGGCATTGAATTTTCGAAGTCCATCAGCCTGATAGAATGCAAATTGTTCATCAATGACCATATGATTATACTTGTTCAGCTTCTTATTTCGTGCAACCTCTTCCCAAACACAATGCCTGTCGTAGTGATTAGAAATGGCATACTCATAGCCTTTGTGCCACAAGAAATACTCCAGGATGAGTAGAGGATCACGTTGGAGACGAAGTTTGCTATCCAACCAGATTGAGTACCTGAAACCAGAAGATTTAAATAAATTGTCAAGCCTGTTAACAGTGAGGACCCTCCCATGCAGCAAACTCATAATTCCATTAAGTAACTTGTATTTTTGATAGAGACGTCCTACAAAAGAAATGTGCTTTCCAGTTCCACCAACCACAACTCCACATAGTTAAATTAAACAAAATTGTACACAATTAATAATGGGTTACCTCAGGAACTGCAGTCATTGTGAAATAAAGTTCTGAATGATGAATTTATTACCACTTAGAGGTGTCACTCATAGCTTTCTAATTGTCCGTTTGATCATTTGGAAATCAATCTAGCACCAGTATACACTTAACAAAATCCTTGCAAATAATTTGTCAAATTATTACTAAACTAAAAAGATAACTAGCTTGAACAAAATAGAAATGAAATAAAGTTGCATGCATACAGACTATACATGAGGAAAGAAGCTATTTTTAACAGAAGACAATTACTTGGATAATTGTGAAGTAAAAAGAACAAATATGCCCATATAAAAACATATAATCTACACAGTGGATTCAAATGTAATTGTATATATAAAATCTGACAGAGCCTAAGCATATACTAGCTAGTGGGTATGCACCAACAACCACTGAAGCAAGCTGTATATGTGTTCATGGACCATATGGAAACCCTAAAAAAGAGTTTGACACCTCTTTTAAGTCAGCAGATTAGTTGTAGAGACCAAAGAACAACATCAACCATTACATAGAATAAAAGGAATTGATAAAACTTAATAAGTGAAATAGCAACACTTTAAAATAAACAGTTATCTTATAGTATCTTTTGGTTATTCTAATTTGCACCTGGCAGAAGGAAAAAGTCGATGTGGTAACAATTTTGGTATTTTGCCCACTCTCCGCATATCAGTATATGGAAGATTTTTAACAACTACTATCTTCCACAGACCAATAAAACCAGATCTATCGGGCAATTGACCTTCAGAAGAAAGAGTTTGCAAAGTCATCTCATCAATGAACATGACAAAGCAAACATTTTTCTTCGATAAACGAGTAACCTAAAATAAGAAAAAATTAAGAATTAGCTACCATTTGCAATTTCAAGTCTTAAACATTTTTCAGGAACAATTTAAAATTATATAGCATAAAAAAAAAGGAGAGAAAGAAAAAAGAATTGGCATCTAAAATGCCACACGTTAGTAGACTATTTTAAGCTATTTCACTTATTAGCTCCACTATTAGACACACAATAAATATCACATGTACAACGGCTAAGCTCTAAGGTAAAGCATTAAAGTTTGCACCCTGAAAATGAAGAATCATAAAGAGGGTGACAAATCATCATGCCTCTCTGACAGGTATTCATTCATTGAGTCCTCTGTGAAATAAATAGTATTATGAAGTGAAACAAAAATTGCACTAACATCCAATATCATACTCTTGAACTTGTCAGGCCCATAATGGTAAAATGTGACTGAATGCAATTGTCTCAACAAATGAGAAGCTTGCCTACTTTGATAATGAAGGCTGATTAGTGAGGTCTTAGAAACTTCATAGAAGGAATGATCAGCCATTCCACTTGTGCTTTCAGCAAGTAGGTGACAGGCATGGTGGGAAGGCATGGTGGAAGCCCAGCCCGCACCATGTCTCTCAAAAAATAACTAATAATTAGTTTTTTGTTCTCATAAAAAAGATTATCCCATACCGTTTTACCGCCAGGAACCCTCAAACGATCTGAATTCCCAAAAATGCATGAGATCACAGCAATGTGACACCTACTCATATAATTCACATCATCTTCTGCCAAGTCAAACCCAGTGCTAGAGGATCCTTTAGGACCTTTAACAAATCCACAGTTTACGTTTTGGTCATGTGCCAAAAAAGATTCCTCTCTTGCTTGTAAACTCTGATGGCCAGCAAATCTAGGCTCCCATGGTTCTTCTCCTTCAGGTTTCTCCTCCATATCTGTGTAGTGCAAGGAAAATCTTGCAAACTTTCGACTTTCTAAAGGCTCTACAAGCTGTGCAGTAGAATTTAACAACTTCATCTCACAGGAGGAACCTGAAAATTGACTGTGATACTTTTAGACAAGATAAAGAATGAATTCTGATCTAAAGTTGGTTTTACCATTTGAATAGCAATCTAAATCAACATAATAACTTTATTTATTCATTTGAATAATAGAACAGAACAATCACCAGAAAATTTGCGTCTCCTCCTTTTTCTTCTTGAACTGGAGGATGAGCTTCTTGAATGTTTCGTAGAGTCTGCAACAACATCAACATCTCTGGAATTGAAAGATGAGGCCTCTCCCAATGAATCAGAGGCTCCCTCAGCTTCCTTAATGGCTTTCTGATCCTCGGTTCTAGAGTAAAAGAAACTAGAAGACTCTTTACCATCTGTGTCATGAGATTTTGCCTCATCCAAGTGGCCCTTTCCATGCCCAGAGTCATCATATTCTTCCATTTGCAAATCTTCAGCATCAATACCATCACCATCCTGATCACCAATGTCATTCTCTTCATCATTTATTCCAAAACCCTTTTTGTCAGACAACTGATTCTCATTGCCATTTTCCTTCTGAGATTGTCTCACATTCTTCAAAGATGCCACATATTCAGCTTCATACTTTTCAATTTCACGGCGCCCAGCTTCATTGTATAACCCAACACCTCTCCCATCTGAACCCCCAACATGAAAAGTCTCCTCGTTCTTATTCCTAACATTCACTACATCCTCATTGTAATCTTCATCCCTTCTCCTATCATCCTTATCCCAATACCTTGAATCCCGACCATGAGTTCCAGAACCAAGGCCAAACTGAACCTTATTAGTTTCTGTCCGTGTCACATTCAGAAGAAAATCTCGGTCATTGTTTGAATCATCATCCTCCCAGTGATGACTACTTAATTCTGCATCAGCATATGCATTTGTTACTAAATTTTTGCAATGAAAATAACAAGTTAAAGACAAAAGCATCATAACAAAATCAAAATTAAAGTTGAAAACTACAGCATTGACCTTTTAACAAGTTAATAACCAACAATTAGTTGCAAAAAATTCAATGTTAACTTAAGTAAGAGTAAGTAACAGCTAAGAAAGTAAGAAACACTCCTTTTTTATTTGTTTTTTATCAGCGCTACGAAACACACTCCTAAATTTGAGTTTCTTTCACTTTCCCACGTTTTTTCTCAGCAACCAAGCAAGGAAATAAAAAACAAAAACCTAAACTTATACTCAAACTACAATCTGACCTTTACCATTATTAACACCGGAGATGTAACAATACACTAAGACAGTTACAAGCAGCACGAGGGAGAGCACCACTATGACTGAGCCGATAAAGAGACGGCGGCTATTGTCGGCACGAGCAGATCGGCGCCACCGAGCGTGCTTATGAGGTGCCGCGGCTCGAATCCCAACGGCCACGTGATCAGACGAGGAGAACAAACCGTTGGCGTGGTATGCAGGTTTAGACATGAAAGGAGATGCCGACAGGAAGCGTGATCGGCGATGAAGAAAGCGCCGGAGGAAGGAGAAGGAGATTCCGTTGGGTATTTATAAATGGAGGAGAAATTACGGGATTCGCCTTAGATTTCTGTGGAAGAACGGCTTCCGCTTCTCTGTCTTCATGTGTCAAGAACGTAAATTGATGAAGTTGTGTGGACAAGTATTTATTTATTTATTTATTTTTTAAACATCCACCGCGCGTTTGGGAGAAAAGAAAACAACAAAATAGCGAAAATAATTTGGCTAAATGTAACGTTTGGCCTATTAACTATTCGTCTATTATCATTTTAGTTTAGAAAGTTTATTTTCTCTAAACTAACCTAGAAGGCTCCAAAATTTATATAAAAATAGACTTTAAGTTTATTTGATTTAGCTAATTTTATTAGTTTATAATTTTTTTAAATAATTAGTTTTGGTATTTAAAAACATTAATTTATAAATTAATTTTAAACTATTAGTAGTTGTTTTATCGATTAACAATAATAATTATCAATTATAAAAAATAATTAAATCAAACAAAAACTTTTATTTTTATTTTTTTTTTAAGTTTTGTTAGTTTTCCTAACTAAATTTCATGTTAGTGACTAAATGTCACCATGTAACACCACTTAGCTCAAATATAGTTACATTTT